AATGTGGAGTGAAATCAGGTTCTTGCACTTTAGGGGGGTTATATTCAAATAGGGGACTTAAAACCTAAACAGAAACAGTAATAGAGACCCCAGGAGAGGTTGGTTTTCTATCACCCTATTAATAAACTTGGAAAAATGACTTCCTAACAAAAAGAAAGTTGGAATGAATGGATTTTACTAAACAGTAGTTCTCCAGAACCTTTGATTCAAAAACTACAAGAAGGATAAAATCTTAGCTTTAGCGAACACTATTCTGATGATGAGCACACCAAGAGCCCTGACCTAAGCATTCTACAAGGTACCCATGTAGCAGAAACACTTGTACCCCCTTAACTAATACTTTGAAATAAAAATAAATAAATAAATGGCAAGAATGGAAAAATCACTCCTTACAGGAAATAGAGAAGGAAATAACAAGGCGCAGTGATCTCCCATTAGAAAATTGGAAGAATTAGCCCAGTAATCGGCTGAGAGGAATTCCTGCACACCTAGTAAATACAGTGTTTGCAGAGGGAAAGGTGGGGAAATTGGACAGTGGGAGAGGAAGCCCAAAGGTGGGAATGAAAGAGAAGGAATGGGGGGCAGAGTTTTCTCAACTGAGAGCGGTACAGGACAGAGTCTAGTTAGGTTTTCTTCCAGTCACAGAACATTTTAAGGAGTGTAGTACCGATGATGGCTTGGGAAGATGGCCACAAATTCTTCCATACTCCTTTCTTCAGAGGGTGGAGGCGGCAGCCCTTGAGCATGGGCTGTGCTTAAGGAACAACTCACCTGTGATGAACATAATGTGGGGGGCTGGCGAGGGGTGACTTCCAAGACTGGGGCATCCTGACCACCTCTTTGCTGTCTGAGACTACTTGCTCTAGGGCAAGCCGGCGGCCCCACAGAGAGCTGTGGGTTCATGTGAGCACACCACCTTCCTAGCCCAGCCCTCGGGTGACCCCAGCTTCAGCCACCATCTGGACTGCATGTTTCAAAACCATGTTAAGTTCTTTGACAAGCTTCAATTTAGTATCAGTGCACTAAATCAATCAGTCCCTTCAATCAGTGTATTGAGGGGTGAGCGTGGCATGCTCCTTTTTCATCTGATTTCCTGAAGTCTGTTTTAGAAACCCACACATGGAAGGGCCCCAGTAGGAGAGAGCAGGACAGACAGAGCTGCCGTCCTGGGACGCCTTCCTGGCCGGCTCAGCCTCGGGGGGTGGAGATGGTAGGGGGTGGGAAGAGTTCCATCTGTATCTGAGCCAGGCACTGGCTCCATCTGAAGAGAAGAGACCTTAGCTCACTCTCTGCTGCAGTGTCCCTCTGTCCCAGGAGGGTAGGTCCTCCCCAAGGACTGTTCTGCTGCAGGCTTCTTGGGATAGAATCTGAAAGGTGCCAGCAGACAGGGCAGAGTCTTGGCAGTGGAATTCTCTCTCAGCATGGGGCCCCCCCATAAATAAGGCAAACTCACATCTGAACGTCTGTTTGGCCCCAGCACTGCTTGTGGCTGCCCCAAGTTTTATTTCAGTTCTCAGACTGCATCAGGATCTCCTGGAAGACTCATTAAACCCAAAGTGCAGGGGGTTAACACACAGGTGGCCGGGCCTACCCCAGAGCTGCTGCCGCTGCAGGGCCCCGGAAGCTTGCTTTTCTCTCCAGCTCCCCGATGATGCTGTTGCTGCTGGTCTTGGGAGCACCTCTGGTTTAGTTCCTCTCCAGACTTCATGTCAAGGTGTTTAATGGTAACCTGTAACAGTGTACGTTAGTATATAGATTGTTCATTTTCACATTTTCTGTACAAAATCTCTATTTGAACCAAGAATGCTTCCAAACTTTCAGCCCTCCCGCTTGGCATAAGTGAGTTCTGTGTCCTTCACTTTAAGATTTCTACTTGGGAGCCCAGGAAATTAAAAATGATTTTTTTCCGCTGTATTCCATTTTACTACCGTAACAGACTCTGGATACAATCATAGGCATGCACGCATACATACCCTGTGATGTTAAATTAAGAAGCTTAAATTAAAAGCAAATTTCCCTATTCTGAAAGTCATCTGTTGATCGTTTGGCTTAATTAAAACCCAGGCATGTCGTGTGTTTACCAGGACTCACCCCCATACTGCCTCACTAGAAATGATGCCACTTTGTCTATGAGTCACTTAGAGCCTCTGTAGCACCTGCACAGGACCCAGCTTGTGGTAAATTATTAAAGTGAGATCACTCTCCATTTTTTTCTAAAGACACAACTTATAAGCATGTTAATAGCAAGGGACATGAAAAGAAAATAAAAATTGCTTTAAAGAAGCCACCAGGAGAGGGTTGAGTGGCTCATAGCTTACATTGCTATACACAGTGCTACGGGATTGGCTGTGGCTGTTCTCCTGATCCACGAGGACTAGTGACCATAGTGATCTAGACGACGACGACGACGGGGGCAGATAACCCTGTGCCATGCAGGGACGTGGGGTTCCTGTTGGGCAGTACCTGTTTTAGTTTCTTTAACTTTCAAAATCATACACAGTACGTAACTTAGATGGTCATGCTGAGAACACAGGGGCCGGCTTCCATCCGTCTTGTTCAGTCCTATGAAAATAGTCGTGATCTGAGAAATGTGCTGTCACATGATTGCCTAAAATGTCACATGTTAGGGCCAGTTGGTGTGATCATCCATGACATCAGGGTCTGTGACCCACTGAAATAAATTTCAAGTACTATGTCTCCCTTAGTCCTCCTCCCACTCAGGGGCTGGTTTCTGAAATCATCTGTGACCTGAGACTTACCCTGAGATAAACCTTCCAGTCTTGCTGGGCTCCGGAGGCAGCAGGCCCTGGGTTATTGTGGAGGAAATGGGGGCCATTCCCCCAAAGGTTGGTTCTTACTCGGTCTGTGTTGGGCAGAGGTTGTAGATACAAACTATGAACACAACTGTCTCTTTCCTTCGTTCATGCTAACAGCTGGGGCTGGTGGGGGAGCACAGCTGCCCTGCACAGTTTCGATTTTCTCAGACATCTGTCCCTGAGTTGTCGTTGGTATAGATGGAGTGATTCCTTATTGTGCAGAAGTTCGTATCAAGCATTTCTTGCTTGGTGAATTCAGGGTAAGAGACTGTAGCCTGAGCGCTTGTTAACTTTGGAGGTCCCAGGAGGTGATCCTGCTGGGTCACCTGGTTCTGGGTGGCAGGAAAGGCAGAAAGCTGGGCTAGGACTTCCATGAAGAACCACATTGTGCTGTGCACTGCCTCCCTGGTGCTGTGAAGCCAGGGAGGGGCAGTGGGAGCTTGCCCACGTAGGGCCAGCAGAGCTTCTTAAGGGAGGTGTTCCCTTTGATCTGGGCTCCAAGAGAATGGTTGACCAAGGAGGGGACAGAGTTGGCATCAAGAAGGATATGAACAGGAGTGCAGTGGGGGCTAGGAGTGGGACATAGTCGAGCCTGGTGTATCAGGCTCGTAGGGGCCAGCTAGGAAGATGGGTTTTGTTCTGCAGCCACTGAAGGAATCTGGGCTTCCTCTTCTCCCCCCGGCCAAGGTCACGATTCACCTACCACCCTCACCCAACCCGGGCCTTGCACAGCTCAGGCCCAGCTGCACTGTCTTCAGAGGCCTCTCCTGACCCCTACATGTAGACTAATGGTGCACACACACAGCCATACACATGTTCACAGTCAGGCACACATGTATACACACTGCCACTCACATACTCATACACAGTTGCCACCTCTAGCTCATTCACATTCTTGCAACTCTCCTTTTTTTTTCACAGAATTTATCACAGTCAGCAGCCGTATGTCCACCACCTTAGTTATCTTCCGCCACTGAGTGTCACTTATAATAAAGGTTATGTCCTTGTGTACGCACACACATATCCAGGGCACAGCTGCCTGGCATGTAGTCAGTGTTCAGTAATTGTTATTTATTGAATTAATTTTTTTTTTTTTTACAAAGAACATTCCTCATTCAATATCTTTCTTGCATGTTTTTCAGTAAATGAGATGAAAGACCAATTTTAATTAGAATAATGATATACTTTATTTCCAAAATATACCCAAATATAAGCCAGGCACTCACATATCACAGATTCTAAGTATTTCTCAATATAATCTGTGCTCAAACCACAGTGTGGCCCCATCTGGAATGTTACGAACTACTTAAAATGCAACCACAGGGGCAGCGCCTGTGGCTTAGTGAGTTGGGCGCCAGCTCCATGGGTGGTGGGTTCAAACCCGCCCCGGCCAAACTGCAATAAGAAAATAGCCAGGTGTCATGGCAGGCGCCTCTAGTCCCAGCTACTTGGGAAGCTGAGGCAGGAGAATCGCCTGAGCTCAAGAGCTGGAGGTTGCTGTGAGCTGTGATGTCACTGCACTCTACTGAGGGCGATAAAGTGAGACTCTGTCTCTAAAATAAATAAATAAATAATATTTGGGCAGTGCCTGTGGCTCAAAGGGAGTAAGGCACCAGCCAAAAACTGCAAAAAAAAAATCAATAAAATGCAACCAGAAATTTCTACTGCTCTTAATATTTTTAAATTCTTAGAACCAGAAAAATATGGATGGTCTAATGTCTAGTAGTGTTAGGAGTCAGAAGAAGTGAGATTGCTAGCTGCTACACAAGCCGGCCTCAATAGATTCCCAGTTTGGAATTTGTTCCCCCCGCAAATAGTTCATGAAATGAAAAAATGCAGGCTTCCTGAGCATCCGGGTTAGGGCAGGTGTTGTGCATTCCACAGCGAGCGCCACTGTTGGAATGACTAAAATGCACTTAACTCTGAAACTGAGCTAAGCCACCTCAAGCTTGTCTTTGATTCAGAATTTCAGAACCTCGGCCAGCCTGTGGGTCATTCTGAACACCAGATGCCCTTGTAAATGGTGAACAGAGGCTCGGCTACTTGTGTGAATGGTGAGTGGTGGTGTGGATTTGGATACATGAAAGAGTCAGACACTTTAACCTACATTGTCGGCGGCAGTGATGCAGGGATGGACCTCTCCTGCCAGGCCTGGTTGTCACTCACGTTCTGTTTCTTCCCCAGCCCAGTGACTTCTCCGTGTCTCTGAAAGCGTCAGGAAAGAACAAACATTTCAAGGTGCAGCTTGTGGACAATGTCTACTGCATTGGGCAGCGGCGCTTCCACACCATGGACGAGCTGGTGGAGCACTACAAAAAGGCACCCATCTTCACCAGCGAGCACGGGGAGAAGCTCTACCTCGTCAGAGCCCTGCAGTGACATCGGCGCCGTGGCTCTGTGGCCCACCAGCTCCCGGCTTCGGTGCCACTCACCTCCCCAGAGCCCAGCGGTCAGGTCAGCGGTGCCCACCCCGCTGTGCGCACAGGCCCTGCCCTGCGGCGGGTGGTCCTGGCCGACCCCTCTGCCTGGTCTTTTTTTCTGTTCAGGTCGGCTGGTTGGTTGGTTTCCTGTTGCCTTCTGGGCCCTCACATCCTGTCACCCCATCCCAGCCAGCTTTAGAGAGCGAGAGGGGGCAGGGGCGAGCTTGTTCACTTTATTCCTTTTCAATTGGCAACAGCATGAGCGTTTTGGATCGTCCTCGCTAACAGAAGCCCACTGGGGTGCAGTGTGAACACAGTGAAGCTGTACTTAGCAAGGGATCGAGCCACAGTACGCTCCCAGGGTGGTGTCCCGAGCTCGGGGCTCTCTGCCTGCCACACAGCACGAGTGATGGCTCCCTGGGCCCTGGGCCCTCGTGGGGCTCCCAGACTCTGCAGGGAGCAGGCGCGTTTGCCGATAGCAATACTGGAACCAGCAGGTGAGGCGGCGGTGAGGAAGCTGTCCAGTGCCTTTGGGGCTGTGCTTGCAATAAAGAAGGGATTTCCTTGAAAGTCAGTCTACAAAAGAGGAAATCAGTGACTCAAAGACAGATGTTTTTCGTAATTTACCCTCAAATGTGCCATCCACATAGTGCTTTTTCCTCTTGCCCTTCAGCTTATTTGAATTTCACAATTATGTATTTAATTCTCAAAGAAATACATATCTGTAGCCATTTATTGACACTAATACAGATGATTAAGGAAAACAGCTGATCTTTGGGAAAGGGGAGTTACCAACACCTTATACACACATAAACACACACACTATATATATATATATGTACATATATATATATACACACACATATATATATTATTTGCTTTACGGGGAAATTTTTCAGGGTTTACAAAAGAATATGTGATTGGTAGTAAGAGACACGCAGAATGTTTATGAAGAAATTGCATTTTCTTTTTCCTTTTACATTTGAACTTCTTTATAGTTAAAATATACAGTCTTGAGATGGCACATTCCTACAATTAAAGAAGGGGTCTTGAGATCCCCTAAACTTGCATACCCAGTTTTTTTTTTTTTTTTGGATATTGTAATAAAAAAAAAAAGTATTACAAGACTCTGTGTGTGTTTGTCTCTGGGAAACCCCTGACTCAATTATGAGAGAGTAATTACTGCAGCATTTTCCTGAATGCTTTTTGCCAACTGGGAAACACTTTTAGAGAAGAGCTTAACAAATTTATTACCTGTGTGTTTTCTTTTTTCTAGTACCATTTTTGTATGTTGAAATAATGCATTTTAATTAGGAAACCTCCAAGAGAACCCAGAATCTTGGGTTCAGTCTTGAGGAAATTATTTCAAACTTACTCTTTAGCAATTACGTCCTCAGAAATGTCTTTCGAAACTGCTGTCAGCCAGAATCTTCACATCTGGTGTGGCCCCCACACTGATGTCCAACTTCCATCACTGGCATTTGTTGAACTGCCACAACGTGGCACCCATCAGGCACCGGGAATGCAGTCTCTTGCCCCAGGCCCTGGGCCCTCGTGGGCCAGTCACTGCAAATGCTATCAAGTTCTCCCTTTGCCCCAGACCCTGTGTCCTCTCTTGTTCCCCACTACAACCCCCTGAAGTGGGTTCTGCCATCATAGAAGGGAAGGTGATACACAAAGTAGATGCACAAGGACACGTGGCTACTGCATGGTAGAGCAGGATGCAAAGCTTGAACCTGCTCCAGGGCTGTGCCCGTCCACCCCCAACCTGATCCGTGGAAAAAAGTTTTCCAGACTCTTACATTTGACCTTGACCTAGAATTCGTTGATGTACTGTCTCCCAGGATGGCCAGCAGACCTTGATTTACATGTAACTATCTAGGAAGAAACACGGAGTTAAGGGACAGAAAACTGATTGACATTGTGGACTTCAGGAACTTATCTAAGTCCTATAGTTGTAATTAACAGTTGTTTTCAACATTGCCACACACACCTGTGTGAGTTATCCAGATGCTTGCCGTAGATGAAGGTTAATACTTTTTATGAAGGAATTGGCCTTGCAGGATGTCCTGGCTCGGGTGGACTGATAGTTCCAGGATGAGCCTGTAGAGAAGGGGATGGGTTAAGGCGGGGACCTCACATGGTTTGCAGTATGCATTCTGATACTCTGGCCGGGAGGACATGCCATCAACCTTTCTGAAGGTCCAGAGATTTCCTGGACAGTTCTTGTTTTGCTATTTTGCTCCCTCTTTGCGCAAAAAGGACAATAAATGTCAGTCATTCTGTAGCTGGGTAACTTTGCTCATGTGTTTGTATTTAAATATGACTTCATTTTATGTAAACATTGGCTATCCTACTCAATCATGGTACGTAAACATCAGGCCCTTCCCACTCAGTTTATGGCCAAATGCTATTAAATGATGTTTCTAGGGAGCTAAAACTGTCCATCTTTTTTCCCAAAGTATGTCACAAATTAAAACTTAAATTATAATTAGTATCTTTCTGACTAGTAAAACTGGTATTTCCAAACTTTTTTTTTCTTTGAGACAGAATCTCACTTTGTTGCGCTCATTAGAGTGCTCTGGCGTCATAGCTCATAGTCACCTCAAACTCTTGGGCTCAAGTGATTAATTCTCTTGTCTCAGCCTCCCAAGTAGCCGGGACTACAGGTGCCTGCCACAATGCCCTGCTATTTTTAGAGATCGGTCTTGCTCTTGTTCAGGCTGGTCATGAGATCAGGCAATCCACTGGCCTTGGCCTCCCACAGTACTGGGATTACAGGAGTGAGCCACTGTGCCGGGCCTCAAACAAATCATTTCTGGTTCCAGTGGCAACTTTGTAATTGGTTTTTGTGTGCTGACTGGTTTGTAGCCTACTTTTCCACAGTTTCTACTGCCCAATGTTAGAATAATTTCTTAAGACCAAAGTCCAGAATGGAAAGGATAGAAAAATTTGAAAGTATTATTTTTAAATCTTGCTTTTCAATAAACATGGGTCTAGTTGTGGGCTTTTTCTCTCTAGGACCCAGCACTGTTCATTGTTAGTATGTTAGAGGGATTGGTGTGGTTGGTTGAGTTCTGATAGCCCGCTGGGTGGTGGTTCACCTGCTGGGCTGAGCTCCATGGTGGTGCCCACACAGTCTTATGGATTTCAAACAGATTGCATAGTTCTTTGAATGGGTTTGCTCCCAAGCCACATGGGGCTGCTCTCCATCTCCACAATCCACAGGGTAGCTGGTATAGCCCAGGAGATGGTGCTTTGTGTGACATTCCACAACGGTAGTGGAGGTTAGATAAGCCTACCTGTGTCACGAGATCTGCTCACCACTTCTCTGTGTCTAGAACTCACCTGTGCCCTGTTAGCCATGGGCTTCCTTAGAGGGCCCCACTGAAGAGCTGAAGAACCTAGACTCTGCAAGTGTCTGAAGAGATGTTGCTTCAGCAAACTCCTGTGGCCCATTTTTCATCTGAAGCCCAGGACCTCTCCTTAACTGAGGTGGTTGACAAATTCACATTCCTAAAAATGATCTTTTGAGTGGGAAACATTTCTTCTGGGGGTTAGTGAATGGGGAGGATGAAACATTCTCAGCCTGAGGTCTGACAACTCAGTTGGGCCAAGTTCAGTGAGCCAACCAGTGTCCGTAAGACCTGAGCCCACGTCTCAGCAGATGGCACTCCACTGCTTGGATGGAGCTGGCCGTGGCTATTCTGGTTCCAGTTCACTCAGAACGCAGGGGGATTATAATTCCATTTCACTCGGAACCCAGGGGGATTATAATTCCAGTTCACTCGGAACGCAGGGGGATTATAATTCCAGCCATTAGAAAATGTGCTCCTTTATGCAGATTTGTCCGCCTCTTGGATTCCAATTTGGAAAGGGACAGAGGACGGTCGGTGCTTTTAACATGCTCCTGAGAGATTCCAAGGCAGTGGTATGGGCCTGCGCTTTGGGTGTTATTCTAGTCTACTTGAAGCCTTTGGGGAAACCACCTGTTCCCACACTCTGGTTTGAAGACACACATTAATCTCAACATACATTTTTTGTAGCATGTCTTTTTCTTTGGGTTGTATGGAAATGTATACTCTTGAATGCCTAGAGTGCCATTTTTTTCTTCTTTCAACAGTCCTTATTCACCTTTACCTCCATTTGGGTTTCACACATGCCAAATAGAAAGACTCATGACCTTCTATCTTTGGAGGATCCTGCCACTTGACCCGCAGTTACTACTGAAGATGGATGAGCCTGACAGCCGGTATAAAAGTTCACCTTCAACAGCTTTTAGAAAATGCATGATCTTCTCCCTAAGGAGCAGGCTTTTGGCCAAAATCCACAGCCATGGTCAGGGCCAGAGCACTGGGTCACAGCCCGAGGAAGCCCCAATCCAGAAAGTCAGTGGACTTCGATGAACTGAGGGCCTATTCTCATGGTGCTGGAACCTGCCCACCTCAGTGTCCACCTGAGGTCCAAGCCTGTCTCCTCACCAGCAGCCCAGACTCCAGCAAGTTCTAAACCCTCTGCCTAATCCGACCCACTGGTGCAGAGCCTCATTTTTTTGTGCAGCCACTTAAGGATGATATTATATTATAGTTGTTATGCTTTATTACACATTTAGATAAGGTAAACTGCTTTCCATAATGTAAAATGCTTAGCACCTTTGTACAGCTATTAAATGAGCTTAATGAAAAGGAAAAAAATAGGTTAATGTGATAAATGATTGCTAAATGAAGCTAGTGGTGAGTAATCTGAGATTCCAGACCACACGTTTATAGTACCATAGAGACGCTGTGTTCAAGAGATTTCAACCTAGAACTCCAGCCAGATGCCACAATTTTCACTTCTACAAATGCTAAAGGGGTCTGGAATGATACACCAAGGAAAGCTTGTCCCAATAGTCAACTGTTTCCTGTCTGCCTGTGTCTTTAATGGATTTGATCCATTAGGATCAAGATGGGCAAACCAGCCCCACTAGGATAGTTTGACTCCAGTTTTATCTATCTGCATGCTTTAGACACCTGTGCTCTTTTCACCTCCATCTGTAGCACTTCATTTAACCAGTGTCGAGATGTTGGTTCCTGGCCAGGCCAGGGGTTGCAGTAGTAAACAACAAACAGAGCAAAACAAAAATATAGATCTCTGCCCTCAAGGAGGTTACGTTTGTGAAAGTCAGTTCCAAAGGAAGGAAAGAACTGCAACTTTTGAACTATGAATATAAACAAAAAAAAGTTTTGCTGGAAACCAAGAAGGCTGCCTAATTTAAGCAGGGAGAATTTTAAAAAGGATCTTTTGAAGGGCTGGCATTTAGGAGAGATGTCAAGGGGGAAAAGAGTCAGTTGTTTCCAGCGGGAGCATGAAATGGGAACAGTTATGGGTTTGCACCCTGAGGGAAGTGGGAGGGAGGGGAAAACCTAATGTAACAGAGGGAATATCCCGAAAAGGGTAAAAATGTTTCCTTTTTAAAACTTCCCCCACTCTTTCTGAGAATTAAACCTGCATCCCTGACTCAGGCCAGCGGTGGAGAGCTAGGGAAGTGTCCTTTATTCTTTGTACCACTCAAGATGGCTCCACGGAATTATGTAGGTGGAGGTCTGGGAAGCCTGCTGGGCAGAGGTCATGAGATTGTCTTCACTGGAGATAGGATTGATCAGAATCATCAACTGTAGTTGAACAGTAATATCCTGAAGCTGAAATCTCTCCCTTTTAAAAGCTCTGTATTTCTGCTTAAGAGTAGGGGACAGTGGTACTTTAAGATGGGAGTCTGCCAATGTCCTCCTCACTTGCCAACAAATTAAACTCCTTTCTTTTTACTCAACCACTTGTCCTCATTCTTCTGACACAACCTCAGGGACAGGTGCTAAGCTTTCTGGTAACAGAGCACGCAGTGCATGATGATGGTATGGTAGGAGAAGGGACAATTTGAATAAGACTGAAGGTGTATGACTCAAACTAGAAAAATGTCTAATCCATCAGGAGGTCAATTTTAGACTTGGTAAATCTTAAATTTAAAGACACTGTGAGACATTAAAGGAGTTACCAAAGATAGTTGTATGTACCAATCTTGGTACAAAAAGTGGGAATAGGGGCGACACCTGTGGCTCAAAGGAGTAGGGCGCTGGCCCCATATA